TCACAGTTGTAATCCTATCTAATCAATAGACTGAGATCTGAGAATCAGTTTGAAGCAAGAAAATCCTTGAGTTTTTTGTTTGTTTTTTGGCTAGTCCTAGGGCTTGAACTCAGGGCCTGGGCATTGTTGCTGGGCTTCTTTTGCTCAAGTCTAGCACTCTACCACTTGAGCCACAGAGTCACTTCCAGCTTTTTCTGTTTACATGGTACTGAGGAATCAAACCCAGGGCTTCATGCACATTAGGCAAGCACTATACCACTAAGCCACATTCCCAGTCCATGAGGCTCTTCTCTCCAATTAACTACTCAGAAAATGCCAAAGTAAGCCGGGCGCTGGTGGCTCACACCTGTAATCCTAGCTACTCAGGAGGCTGAGATCTGAGGATCGCGGTTCAAAGCCAACCCGGGCAGGAGAGACCGTGAGACTCCTATCTCCAATAAACCACCAGAAAACTGGAAGTGGCGCTGTAGCTCAAGTGGTAGAGCACTTGCCTTGAGCTGAAGAGCTGAGGGACAGCGCCCAGGCCCAGAGTTCAAGCCCCACGGCCGACAAAAAAAAAAGAAAGAAAATGCCAAAGTAGATTTGTGGCTCAAGTGGTAGAACACTAGCCTTGAGGGAAAAAATGCTAAGGGACAATGCCTAAGCCCTGAGTTCAAACCACAGCACTGGCACACAAAAAAAGTGAGAATAGCTTCTTTTTTTTTTTCTCTCTCCTCTCCTTCCTTCTTTCTTCCTACCTTCCTTCCTCCCTCCCCCTCTCTCTCCTACACTCCTTCTCCCTCTCTCCCCCTCTTTCTTTCCATTCCTTCCTTCCTCTTCCCTCCCTCCCTCCCTCCTTCTTCCCACCTTTCAAAAAGTGAGAATAGCTTCTTAAAGATAGAAATGATAGGTGGCTGCCAGTAACTCATTTCTGTAATCCTAGTCACTCAAGAGGCTAAGATCTGAGGATCAGGATTCAAAGATAGCCTGGACAGGAAAGTATGTGAGACTCTTATCTCCAATTAAGCCTTAAAAAGCCGGAAGTGGAGCTGAAGTGAAAGAACACTAGCCACAAGCAAAGAAATGAAGCTGTGTCCAGGCCCTGAGTTCAAACACACACACACACAAAGATGGAAATGACAGTGCTACAGTTGGAACAAATGTCCCCAAAAGGCATGTGCTGAAGGCTTCATCACCAGCCTGTGGCACTACTGGAACCTCTAAAGGTGGAGCCCAATGGCAGGAAGGTAGGTCACTGGAGGCCTATACTTAAAAGGGGACTCTAACCTCTTCTAGTCTGCCTTGCATCGTAGCCACCAGGAGGAAAGGAAAAGCAGTTCCTCCACTATGTACTCCTACCATGAAGTACCACCTTAGGACAGGTTCAAAAGCTGGAATCAACCAATCAGAGACTGAAACTGGGTCTCCAAATACACATATTTATAAATGTCAATCTCAGGTGTTTTGTCACAGTGACAGAAAGCTAATACAGATAGTCTAAGGCTTCTTAAGGATCAAGAAAGAAGTTTAATTCACTGTTGACTGAAAATCTGGTGATCCTGATGAACCAACCATTCAGATGGAATGATCAGTGGCATCAAAAGTCCTCTGAATGAATTTAGGACTTTATTTTTTTTTTTTTGGTCGGCCGTGGGGCTTGAACTCTGGGCCTGGACGCTGTCCCTCAGCTCTTCAGCTCAAGGCAAGCGCTCTACCACTTGAGCTACAGCGCCACTTCCGGTTTTCTGGTGGTTTATTGGAGATAGGAGTCTCACGGTCTTTCCTGCCCGGGCTGGCTTTGAACCGCGATCCTCAGATCTCAGCCTCCTGAGTAGGTAGGATTACAGGCGTGAGCCACCAGCGCCCAGCAAAAACATTCCTATGTCTCTCTTTTTTTTTTCTTTGTCAGTCATGGGGTCTGAATTCTGGGCCTGGGCACTGTCCCTCAGCTATTCAGCTCAAAGCTGGCGCTCTACCTCTTGAGCCACAGTGCCATTTCCAGCTTTTTCTGCTTATGTGGTGCTGAGGAATCAAACCCAGGGCCTCATGCATGCAAGGCAAGCACTCTACCACTGAGCCAACTTCCCAGCCCCGAATTTAGGACTTTAAGAAGGGGTATTGGAGTGGAGTGCTGGTGGCTGGCTTTAGCTACTCTGGGGGCTGAGATCTGAAGATCACAGTTCAAAGTCATAGGAAAGTCCATGAGACTTTTTTTTTTTCAGTTCTGAGGCTTAAATTCTGGGCCTGGGCACTCTGTCCCTCAGCTCTTCAGCTCAAGGCAAGTGCTCTACCACTTGAGCCACAGTGTCACTTCGTTTTCTGATGGTTCCTTGGAGATAAGTCTTAAGGACTTTCCTCCCAGGGCTGGCTTTGAACCTCTGTCCTCAGATCTTAGCCTCCTGAGTAGCTCAGGAGGTGAGAGCTCCTGAGAGTCTTATCTCCAATTAATCATAGAAAACGTCACAGGTGGCCCTGTGGATCAAGTGACAGAGGGCTAGCCTTGAGCAAAAGGAGCTCAGGGACAGCACCCAGGCCAAGTTCAAGACTGAGGACCAGGGCTGGGAAGGTGGCTCAGTGGTAGAGCACTTGCCTTGCATGCATGAGGCCCTGTGTTCGATTCCTCAGCACCACATAAGCAAAAAGAAAAAGCCGGAAGTGGCACTGTGGCTTAAGTGGTAGTAGTGCTAGCCTTGAACTGAAGAGCTGAGGGACAGCGCCCAGGCCCAGAGTTCAGGCCCTACGACCGGACCCAAAAAAAAATTTTTTTAAATGATCAATATACCTAAACATATCATATTAAAACTCCTAGCTAGTGGCCCATGCCTGTAATCCTAGCTATTTTGGAGACTGAGATCTAAGGACAACAAATACATACACAAACATCCCCCTGCAAAAAATACACACACACAAACACACTTTTAGCTAGTAGGTGCTTGTGGCTCATTCCTGTAATCCTACTCAAGAGGCTAAGATCTGAGGGTCATGGCTCAAAATCATCCAGGGTAGGAAAGTCCAAAAAAGTTGGAAGTGGAGCTGTGGCACAAGTGACAATGCCCAGGCTCTTTGTTCAAAGCTCCACAACTTGTACCAAAAAGCCAAAAAGTGGCTCACGCCTATAATCCTAACTTCTCAGGAGGCTGAGATCTGAAGACCGCAGTTCAAAGCCAGCCCGGGCAGGAAAGTCTGTGAGACTTTTATCTCCAATTAACCACCAGAAACCCAGAAGTGGAGCTATGGCTCAAGTGCCAGAGCGCTCACCTTGAGCTGAAGAGCTGAGGGACGGCGCCCAGGCCCCAGAGTTCAAACCCCACAACTGACAACAACAAAAAAATTCCGCCAGGCGGGCACAGGTGGCTCACGCCTGTAATCCTAACTACTGAGGAGGCTGAGATCTGAGGATCTCAGTTCAAAGCCAGCCCAGGCAGGAAAGTCCGAGAGACTCTTATCTCCAATAAACCACTAGAAAACCGGAAGTGGAGCTGTAGCTCAAGCAGTAGAGCACTCGCCTTGATCTGAAGAACGCAGGGACACAGTTCAAGCCCCATGACCGACCAAAAAAAATTCCTTCCTAGATGGCTGCCAGCAGCTCCTGTCTGTTTAATATCCTAGGTAGGGGAGGCTGAGATCAAGAGGATTACAGTTCCAGACCAGCACAGGCAAAATAGTTCAAGAGATCCCACCTAAACAGAAAAAGCCGGGCATGGTAAGGCACACATACCATCTCAACTGTGGCAGGAAGTAGAAGTAGAAGGATTACAATCCACGCTGGCCCAAAGCTAAGAATCCACAGGGAGCAATGTTAACATCTGTCACAGTAAATGTTGTGCGGCTTAATATTAAACAAAAACTTAATGAACAAGCAAGGCAGAAGTCAAATCTGATGTTCTGAGCTAATATTACCTGGCTTTAGAGGGAAATACTCTTCCAAAAGTCATTCGAATCCACAAATACAAAAACTTTCTGGCCACACATCTGAAAAAAAGAAAATAAATAATATAAACATTTTAAACTGATTGATTTAACTCTTAGAAGTTTTGGATTTTTTTGGAAAGGAGTGGGAACCATTAAGGTCTCAGAGAGAAAGATACTAGTATAAATCTAGAGGTGATATTACAGTTATCCCTGTACCAAACAGAGCACAGAAGTCAGGTGTTGGTGGCTCATGCCTGTAATCCTAGCTAGTCAGGAGGCTGAGATCTGAGGATTTCAGTTCCAAGACAGCCCAGGCAAAAAAGTCTATGAGACACAAATCTCCAATTAACCACCAGAAAAGCAGAAGTGGAACTATGGCTTAAACTGGTAAAGCACTAGCCTTGAGCTGAAAAGCTCAGGGACAGCTCCTAGGCCCTGAGTTCAAGCCCCACAACCACCACCATCAGAACAAAAACAGAGCATAGAAGAGGACAAATTTATAAAGCTTAAGTCACTGGGGTGTGGCTCTACTCAAAAAGTACTTGCCCAGCAAGGATGAGGCCCTGAGTTCAAATCACAAAATTAAAGAAAAAAATAAGCTGGGGGGTTAGGGATGTGGCTTGTGGTAGAATGCTTGCCTAGCATGCATGAAGCCCTGGATTCAACTCCTCACTACCACATACACAGAAAAAGCTAGAAGTGACACTGTGGCTCAAGTGGTAGAGTGCTAGCCTTAAGCAAAAGAAGCTCAGGGACAGTGCCTAGGCCTTGAGTTCAAGTCCCAGGACTGGAACAAAAAAAAAAATTAAAATAAGCTGGGCACTGGTGATTCACACCTGTAATCCTAACTACTCAGGAGGCTGAGATCTGAGGATTGCGGTTCAAAGCCAGCCCAGCCCAGGCAGGAAAGTCTGTGAGACTCTTATCTCCAATTAACCACCAGAAAACCCGAAGTGGCACTGTGGCTCAAGTGATAGAATGCTAGGCATGAGTTGAAGAGCTCAGGGACAGGGTCCAAGCCCAGAGTTAAAGTCCCATGACCAACAACAACCAAGACATTTTGTCAACAGAGACTTCAGATTAAGGAAGTTCAAGATAGTATTTTTTCATATTTTTCTTCCAGGCTAAAATATATAGCAACTATCCCTTAACATGGACCTTCCTCTTCTGTGTACTCTTCTATGTGTTATTCAAACCCTACATGTAACACTGTCACACAACAGCCACTGGCTCTGCGTTGTAAACCTGAGTGAGGGTGCGTTTCTCTCATTGTTCCCAGTACCTAGCACAGTGCCCAGCTCATGCACGTGTGTGTGTGTGTGTGTGCGCGTGCGCGCGCACACACACACACACACAAAGTTGCTTTGTTGTATCAATCTCTGGGCTCAGCTTGGACTTCCTACTGCCCTTTGGGTAGCTTAATCTTACATTATCTTCAGAATCAGATAATTGTATAGGGCACAATTAAAAAACATGAACAAGCTGGCATCAGTGGATCATCCCTGTAATCCTAGCTACTCCAGAGGCTGTGAACTGAAGACAAGTTTAAAACCGGTACCGGCAGGATGTTCATGAGACTCCTATTTCCAATTAACTGACAGAGGAGCTGGGAAGGTGGCGCAGTGGTAGAGTGCTTGCCTTGCATGCATGAGGCCCTGGGTTTGATTCCTCAGCACCACATAAGCAGAAAAAGCTGGAAATAGCGCTGTTGCAAAAGTGGTATATGGCCTTGGCCTTCAGCAGAAGAGCTTAAGGACAGCGCCTAGGCCCAGAGTTCAGGCCCCATGGCCCGCCAAAAACAAGACAAAAAACCAATTAACCGACAAAAAACCAGAAGTGGTGCTGTGGCTCAAAATGGTAGAGCACTAGCCTTGAGCAAAAAAGCTCAGGGACAGCATTTAGGCCCTGAGTTCAAGCTCCTGGATTGGCAAAAAAAAAAAAAGAATGAAAACACTTTGTAACAGACTTAATGTCTACAGATTTCTAAATATGTTTCTCTCTTTTTTTGTGCCAGTCCTGGGCACTGTCTCTGAGCTTTTATTTGTTTTGTTTTATTTGATCAGTTGCGGGACTTGAACTCTGGGCCTGGGTGCTGTCTCAGTTCTTCAGCTCAAGGCTAGCACTCTACCACTTGAGCCACAGTGCCACTTGAAGCTTTTTTGTGAAGTTTATTCTTTTCTTTTTTGGTACTGGGGATTGAACCCAGGACGTTGCACTTGCTGGGCAAGTGCTTTGTCACTGAGCTATATCCCAGCCCTATATATATATATTTTTTTTTTTTTTGGTGGGTTGTGGGACTTAAACTCTGTGCCTGTGAGCTGTCCCTAGGCTCTTCAGCTCAAAGTGACTGCTTTATAGCTTAAGCCACAGTGCCATTTCCAGTTTTCTGATGCTTAACTGGATATAAGAGTCTCAAGGACTTTCTTGTCCAGGCTGGCTTTGAACTGTGATCCTCAGATCTCAACCCCTGTGTAGCTAGAATTACAGGCGTGAGTCACCAGTGCCCAGCTAAATATATTTTTTAATCTGAACATTCCATGATGAAAAATGAGCTTCAAGTTTTCCAATGAGCTGACATAAGTAAACAAGAATCATTCCCTCATTTGAGCCAAGAAGAAAGAACAGAGTGAAGTCCTCACAGGAAGGCGGCCAGCCACTCATAAACTCACCTGACGCGCAATTCTCTTAATCGGCCCTGTTTGGTCCAGGTGCGCGAGGTGGTATACTGTGCTAGATGACTGGGTCTAGGTAACTGCCTCCGGGTCCCAGAGCTGAGAGAAGACTTCTTAGAAGACAATACCTTTGGAGAGAAAGGTGGTTTTCTAACCATACCATCCCTAAAAGACATTAAATTTAAGAAGGAAAGGTGAGAATAAAAATTATCTCAGCATATGTAATACTAATTCAAACAACATTTTTTTTTTTTGGTCAGTCATGGGATAAACTCAGGACATGGGCACTATCCCTGAGTTCTTTTGCTCAATCTAGCCACAGTGCCACTTCTGGTTTTTGAGTGGTTTGGAGATAAGAGTCTCATAGGACTTTCCTGCCAGGACTGGCTTCAAACTGAGAATCTCAGATTTCAGCCTCCTGAGTATCTAGGACTACAGGTGTGAGCCACCAGTGGCCAGCACATACATTTTTTTTTTTTTGGTCCAGTCGTGGGGCCTGAACTCTGGGCCTGGGCGCTATCCCTCAGCTCTTCAGCTCAAGGCTAGTGCTCTACCACGTGAGCCACAGCACCACTTCCATTTCTTTTTCTTTTTGTTTATGTGGTGTTGAGGAATCGAACCCAGGGCCTCAGGCATGCAAGGCAAGAGCTCTACCACTGCGCTGCCTTCCCAGCCCAATTCCATAACATTTTTAATATACAAACTGCATCATAGTCTATTGAGACTGCCTTACTAAACAGTAAGCAGCCTGATCTCGAACAGAACTCTGTGCCAGCCAGTAAAAGTGGATACAGGTATAGACAGGAAGTACAGAGCAAGAGGGTATATTAGAGTGACTAGGACTAATTAAAACATTAGTTTTCACCGGGCGCTGGTGGCTCACGCCTGTAATCCTAGCTACTCAGGAGGCTGAGATCTGAGGATCTCGGTTCAAAGCCAGCCCCGGCAGGAGAGGCAGGAGAGACCCTGAGACTCTTATCTCCAATAAACCACCAGAAAACCGGAAGTGGCGCTGTAGCTCAAGTGATAGAGCGCTCGCCTTGAGCTGAAGAGCTGAGGGACAGCGCCCAGGCCCAGAGTTCAAGCCCCACGACCGACAAAAAAAAAAACATTAGTTTTCTCTCTTGCTCCCTCTGATTGGAAAGACTGAGGTTCAAAAAAAAAATTTTTTTTTGGGTCCGATCATGGGGCCTGAACTCTGGGCCTGGTCGCTGTCCCTCAGCTCTTCAGCTCAAGGCTAGCACTCTACCACTGGAGCCCCAGCACCACTTCCGGCTTTTTTCTTTTTTTTGCTTATGTGGTGCTGAGGAATCGAACCCAGGGATTCAGGCATGCAAGGCAAGCGCTCTACCACTGAGCCACCTTCCCAGCCCTGAGGTTCAAATTTTTAAAAAAATAATAATTAAATTCCCTGTTCCCTGATACAGGGAATTTAATATCTGAGTCTTGTCTGTTCATTGTTTCTATGAAGTTATCTTGTACCATCTAAAGAAACCAAACCCAAACTCAAGTAAGCCTCTAAATCCAATTACTAATTAGCAGAAGGAAAAAACAGGCATAGTAGCTCATACTTGTAATCCCAGCTACTCAGGAGGCTCCAAAGATAGAGGCTAGAATGAGTAACTGAGTAAGACTCTCAGAATAAAAGGAAAATACACTGGGAATATAGCTCAATGATAAGAGCACTTATGAACAAGGCCCTAGGTTCAATTCCAGGAACTAGAAAACAAAAAAATGCTGAAGAAAATCTTAAGAATGAACAAGACCCTGGATTCAATCCTAGGTATTGGAGGAAAAAAAGCTGAAGAAAAACATAATAGGATAGAAGCCATATTAAAATATACCATAGAGGGGCTGGGAAGGCTGCTCAGTGGTAGAGCGCTTTCCTTGCATGCATGAGGCCCTGGGTTTGATTCCTCAGCACCACATAAGCAAAAAGAAAAAAGCGGGAAGTGGCGCTATGGCTCAAGTGGTAGAGCTCTAGCCTTGAGCTGAAGAGCTGAGGGACAGCGCCCCGGGCCCAGAGTTCAGGCCCCACAACCGGACCCCAAAAAAAATAAAAATAAAAATAAATATACCATAGAGCACCAAGTGTAGTGGCACAGACCTTAATCCCAAAGTATTTACAGAAATTTATATGGGCGATAATTTCAGTTATTTTGTTATGCCCCATTACTAACCTGAAGTCTGCTTTCTTCTCCATTCTTTGCTTAACTCTTTTGATGGATATTCAACCAATGGCTTGAGATTGTTGATCAAAAGTATTTTTTTTTAATCTTCCTCTTCTAACTACAAGAAAAATAAAGTTAAAGAGACTAATTATTTTAAAAGTCAAGAAAGGGGGCTGGGAAGGTGGCTCAGTGGTAGAGAGCTTTCCTTGCATGCATGAGACCCTGGGTTCAATTCCTCAGCACCACATAAGCAAATAGAATAAAGCCGGAAGTGGCACTGTAGCTCAAGTGGTAGAGTGCTAGCCTTGAGCTAAAGAGCTGAGGGACAGCGCCCAGGCCCAGAGTTCATGCCCCATGACTGGACCCAAAAAAAAAAAAAATTGGCTCACTAGGTTTATCCACTTCCCGAAAATGACATAATATTGTTTCTAATGACTGTGTAAATTTCGATTGTGTATGGGGACCATATTTTTTTTGGATCTACTCATCTACTGTAGGGCATCTGAGTTGTTTCTATAACTTGGTTATTGTGAATAGTATAGCAATGAACATGGATGTGCAAATTTTTTTTTTTTTTTGGTCAGTTGTGGGGCCTGAACTCTGGGCCTGGGCGCTGTCCCTCAGCTCTTCAGCTCAAGGCTAGCACT